TCCTCCCACAAGAAGTCTGGCCAGGATAACTCTACATCAGAGCAGCAGTTCACGACCCAACCTCACCCCGCCGTATGTCCCCGCTGCTCTCTTCCTCCTCATGGTTCTGACCACCCGATCAGAAATCGAATGACCCCTCCGACCTCAACGCCCCCATCGGCGCCGGCCTCAACTCGAACCACGAGGCGAACGTCCACCACGCCCGCGACCCGCACGTCCCCGCGCCCCACATCGTGAACAACCTCGAAGAGCCACTCGTACGTCGATCTCTTCGATCCTTTGTTTGTCTGGACGGTTTCTCTGACCATCGACATCGCAGTCGCGAGAGGAACTCCGCGCTCGTCAGGCTGAGCTGAACCGCGACTAGATCCCGAAGCGAATGGTCAAGCCTCTGTCATACAAATGAACGTCGAGTGTAGGACTTCTACAAGCATACCGAGGCCATCTCGTTTTTGTAACACTGTACTGTACGATTTTAGCATACTATTAGGTGTATAACAGGCGATCTCGTTCATGCGATTGATATTACAATCCCTGGATTGTACACATCTTCACTAGCTTCACTCCTTGAGCATTAGCGAACTTGATACAATAAAATAGACGATGGGTAAAAACGGTAAAAATCAACCGACAGCAAAGGGCCTGACAGGGAATTGAACCCGGGACCTTCTCCAAATGTGTTTCAAGACCCTAAGAAGGAATCATACTACTAGACCACCAGGCCAATGAGATGGCAGATTCTGCTCACTGCCTTACTATACAGTGGCATTGAAATCACCCAAAAAGTGAAGATGTGCACAAGTATTCCTGTCGCCTCTCAAAACGCGACCTATGGCATTTTCATCATGGGAAGGAAGCGAGAGCTAACCGCATTGCGCAAGGACGTGTCGACTCCGGGGCCTGGAGGGCGAATTGAACTGGTCCCATGGAAGACTTGCCTTGGATGAGTGTTGGTTGCGCGATGGGGGGCACACAGCACACAGCAAAGACAAAAGATACCGTCTTCTTGAAGCAGGCTCCGAGACATGGGGTGAGCCACCGAACGCAAAAGGCGAAGACGAATTGGATTACAACACGACGAGGTGTAAGCGACAGCGATACAGAAATGTGCCCGAAAACGGCATCCTAGTCCATCCTTCCCTTCAGCGTGCGCGACACCACCTTGTCCTTCGTTCTTCCCACCTCGTCCGTCAGCACCCCGGATGAACGAACGAACGAGGACAAGAGACTCACATCAAATGCACGATCGCGCCCCAACCCGAATACGCGTCGCGGTCGACCGCGTTCAGCAGCGTCTGGCTGATCGTCTCGAACAGGTCCTCCGGCTCCAAATCCGGCTCCCACAGCCCCTCCGCAACACCAAAGAGCTTGTCGCTCGCGGTGCCGGCGACGATGAAGTCCTTCGCGAAGTTCAGACAGCCGATGAGGTCCGCGCCGGCGATGTACGGTTCGAGCTCGCCCGTCGCGGGCGAGCGCTCGAGGCCGGCGATGATCGGCTCGATGAAGTACGGCCCGAAGCGTCGCTCGTAGAGCGTGCTGGAGACGAGGTGGGCGAAGGTCGAGGGCTCGATCTGGCGCGACTCTTTGATGGTGTACATGTTCACGCGGTAGCGGAAGCGTTCGCGTCTGCGGCGGCGCGATATTCCCGTCAGGCCTGATCCCAGAGGTAGAGAGGGGAGTTGAAGGCAACGTACAGTGTCAACACGTCCGATGCGAGACCGGGAAGACCGACGTATATCCTGTCTGTAACGGGGAAGACCTGGACCGGTTGCGTCTCAGCGCACTCTCGCTCGACTCTGGAGCAATCATGTACGCACCTTTTCGAAATTCGTGGCCACCAGGAGCGCTTGGTTTCCCAGCCGCAGGTCCGACGCAATCGCGACACAGTCCTTTCCGACCATCGCGACGACCGAGCCGCCGTTGTATTCCATGATCGACTGCAGCCAGCGGTCAGTACATCTCCCAGATACCAATCGAGGGTCCTGGGGGAAAATTAAGTAGGCTTACCATGATGGGCGGAAGAGTTCTGGGGGTAACGGCTACAAAGTGGTGGGTGGGGAAGAGATGGTCGAGGGGAAGCTTGCGTGTGCGAGGACGCGCGCTGCTTCGAATCGCGGGTGACGCGTCCTTTGCGCGCACGTCACGGAGTCACT